ATGGAAGAAAGCTGGTTTTGTGCAATTCGTGACTCGTGAATTCTTTAATTTCAATATCAATAATTTCTACAATACAATTTGTTGCTTGTTTCAGATGGAGAGATGAGGCGACTTTAGCACGTATAGCTTACAACTATACCGAACGGATGGATCTTGGCGAGGTAGAGACTTTTTTATTGACCCCTCTACGTAATAAATTTGGAGCTGTTTGATGCACCTGTAATGATCAACATCCTTTTTCTTACATTCCTTTCTTGAATTCATCGTGGTTCTTGTAGAGGAATGATGTTGGCTTGGATTCCAAAAAGCCAACAAATGCCTCTCTCATTTTTTTCGGATATAAACAATAATTATTATTTGTGTTCCACGAAGTAATCGATTGTTAAGGTGACGTTAATGCCGTTAGTGACTGAAAGACCACGATCACATCTCGTTCGTGGGCCAGGACAACTTGCACCAACCACATCAACTGCTCCACCGGCTCCATCTCAAGACGATCCTTCTCTAGAGGTGAGTAGCGATTCATTCATAAAAAGAGGCTACACCTAGCTTGAGTGGCTTGGAGATAGGTATCGCAAGCAGATGACTTCCTTGATCCTCGACTGATCTTGAAATGTCTCCCTGCACTTTTTTCGAAGGAAATCCAGTTTTTATGTCGTTTTCGTCGCGCATCTTCGGTATGGTGGGTGGAGACACGTTAAGATGGCAATTTGCGATATGTAGCAATTCTTTGAATTGCAGACTCATTTATTTGGCTCCCACACAAGGGTTGCAGAGTCACTTAAGTTCTCCCATTTTGTTTCCCGCACTGTACTTTGTCCTTTCACTTTTGTTGGAGGGTGATTGAAACAGGTCGTTTTGGGTTTGGTGTAAGAAGTATCCCAAAGTGCTCTTCAATGGGCTAGAATCAATTATGGTTTGCCGACGTGCGGCCTCATAGCTCAATTGGCCAGAACTTGAGTAGAGACGAGTTCTGGCGCATGCATTGGCATTGGTATTTTCCTTATTTATTTCAGGATCTAGAACTCATAGACGTACTCTGGCGTAACGACATTGCTGCCGAGAAAGGTGCAAGGCAGCTGCAGCCGGCTGATCAGTACGAGCTCGATCTACAACTGCTCACGGAAAAGAGCGTTCATGCAGTGAGTACTTTATTCTGGTCGTGTCAAAGGATGAATCTTTGGGAATTGTTGGTTAGTACAACAGCGGTGCTAAGGGTAGCCACAGAGGTGCTAAGAGTAGGGGCACTGACGTAGGTGAGGTACAAAATTGCTACCTGGAGGACTACTTTTGATGAACAAGTTCTGGTTTGGCGTTGCCAGGTACGATGAAGAAAGAAACAAACGGTCATAAAACAATCGGTACTTTACGTAGCGGGACTTTTCTCGATTCTCATGACCTTTTCGCCCCACCCTAGCGGGATAAATAGGACCAATTGTGTATTTTATTTTGTTCTTTTAAATTGGCGCGACTCTAGTTTGGGAGATTTTTATGGAGGGGGGTTTATGGACTAATCAAATGAATTGGTTGCTGCCCAATGACATAAACTACCACTGGATGGACTGTGTTCTCTGTAGCAGAACTATGGGTACGGGCTTGAAGGTTGAAAACAAGAAGGGCGATCCCAAAGAACAATTGTGGACAGCATTTGCGTTACGGCTAGCACATCATGGAAAGAGAGTTGTTCATTGAGTTTGGAAGAACTTGTGTAGCATGTTGTTTTGCCCATAATTGAATTGATTTTGTTTTTTAGGCACACTTATGTATTGCTGATTTCCTCCAAGGTGCAGCGTCTATTCCCGGTTTCTGAGTATTTCTTTCTTGGTGTGTTAAGGTGGAGTAGGAGAGTGAAAAGAAGGATCGTTCATGGAACCTCGACGAGGTCTAACTTTAATCAGTAGCGATCAGTGGAGCAGGTGGTGATTTGACGACACAAATACTCAATCGAAGGCGGAATATGAATTGGACCTGAAGGCAAAGGACTTCGTAGACTGGATTCGTTTAAGTCATTGACACCCCTTCCGTTACAAAAATTATTCGGCTGTTGATATCATGATTATTGATTGGAATGGTTCTTGCTACTATTCATTATCCATATTTCAGCCGCTGTCCGCCGAAGAGTCATCTCGCTTTGAGGATCTGTCCAAGGTTTATTTTGAAGACTTCTACGCAGTACCATACGTGCTTCGTCCAGATCAAAGGCTCAGCCTCAACCAAATTCGTTCCCGATCAGCTGTTTGGCGTTCGCGAGACGACCATTCAACAAGAGAGAGGTGTCCACGCAACAGACTCAGTTTGTTTTGATCTTGATTAGCTCATGACGCGCTTCGATTACGCTTAGTATTTTGGTTTTCAGGGAAGGATCTAAGGCTGGAGATTACTGGAGGACGTTTCAAAGGAAGGAGGACAACTTGATAGGCTGACGTGCGGCGTAGGTGCATGTGCACCACCTGAAGTTGGAACCATTGCCATTAGTGAATAACGTCAGCCTCTCGGAGGGTATCGTATTCACATGCACAAACGCTGTGAATTTTTAGCGGGTTCTTCTAGCAGAATTCAATAGATGTTGGCGTACTACAAACAATCATTTGAGTTTGAAACGGCCAGTTGATGCATTCATCAATTCGCCCCCCCCCCTAATCGTAATGTATTGCTTCATGATCTTTTCCTGATCACTTTTGAAGTAAATTCTTTCGAGTGGTCGGAGATGTCAATTGATGGCTAAGAACAACGTCAAGCGGCGATGGCGTCGATTTTGACACCACCCGCGCCAGCGACTTCTATACAATGAGACGTCGATGCCCAATATGTGGATGCAGCAAGCAGAGATCACTCCTAGTGATAGTAAGTTTTAACACTTATTCTAAGGGTGAAGAATTGGGTGCCCTGGGGGCCAAATTTTCCAAATTAGCAGAGTTGTGCTAAACTACACAACTTGACAGTTCTGATTGCTCGCTCTGATACCAGGGATGCGCGTCACTTTTCAGATAAGCGGTTCGTCGCGGTGCACGTCACTCTTCCTGGTTCAGCGTCTTTATCTAGGAAAAAAGCTTACGGGTGTCGTAGAAAAATGCCCGAGTGCTGTGCATGCTGTGCATCGAGTTCGTGACTTTTGCAAGGGTTGGAAACAGTTGAAAAAACTGGAACGTGATGATACCATACATGGCCGACATGCCCACTCTCTATAATTGGCTGGTTCGTGCAAACAGCCAATGATCCTGTTGCCCTTCATCTCGAGAAGTGGTATTTATGGAGTTTCTGAGTTGGTAGAAAGGTTGATGGTTGCGATTCAAATAAAACTACAGCTATTAGTGGTAATATTAGTATTAGTGTGAGCGAAATGAGTCAGTTAACTTGGTGGATAGTAGCTTCAACGTAATGGGTAAAGGCGCATTTACAGTCCACAAAATAATACCCTCATCTTGTCGAAAGCTTAACCTTTCATGGGTCCAATAGAGTTCCTTTACGGGTGTATCTGAGTTTTTGGGGTGAAGTAAGACAGAAAAACCATAATGATGCAAGAGTTAAGTGCGAGAATACCGTTAGCGGTTCAAGTGCGGCATGGACCGCCCGAATGGCTATAGTCCGATTGCTTTTGAAGGTGGTTTCTATTAATCGGGCCGGGCAGAAGTGGTATAGTAGAAAGTGACGGCACTTACCACAACACTGCTTGAAGGTCAACCTGGATAGCAGGCCGTCCACACCAACTAAGTCATCCGTTCCTTCGGGGTCGTTATCGACCAGCTACTAAAGACAGCCTTTTACTAAATCGACCATTTTAACTTCTTGACTGCAGTCGAGTTAAATGGGTGTCCAATTATTCTGGGAGGACAAAAACACTGATCGTGAATCGGCTGGCCCCCGCAAGTCATTGTATAGGCCACATCGCATTCAAATGCCACTACGAATGTACAAATGGAAGTAGAATGCGTGCCGCATCCCACCAAGGGATTGATCATTGCCCAACAATATCCTTTACTGATCGGGCCAGTACTATAGTTTTTGCCATTGATGGTCTTAAATGATATGGTTACCTTTTTTGCTTCCTTCGATTAACTATCCAGTTGTCGACCAGCTACTGAAGAATACTTTCCACTAGACCCTTTTAATTACTTGGCTGCGGCCGAGGTAAATGGTCTGATTGCATTTTTAAATGGAATAATAATTGATTGCTGTTGAAGAGATTCATGTCCAAACACTGCCGGTATTCTTT